ATCTGTCTATCTTAACGGCCACCTGTCTAAACCACTCCCAGTCACCTCAGGCGTCCCACAAGGGTCTGTTCTCGGTCCTCTCCTATTCCTAATATATATTAATGACTTACCATTGCATGTTTCCTGTAACATTCGCATGTTCGCTGACGATTGCGTAATCTATCATACTATTACTAATTGTCATGACCATCACATCCTTCAAAGCAACCTTAACAATATAATAAACTGGTGTAATATTTGGCTAATGACTCTCAACCCCACTAAATGCAAACTCTTGTCCTTCTCTCGTCGTCACAATCCCTCTCGCTTTCAGTATTCTATTTCTAAATCATGTATCGAATTAGTAGAATCGTATAAATATCTAGGAGTCACCCTTTGTTCTAATTTATCATGGCGCGCCCATATTACAAACATCATTTCAGCATCGAACAAAACACTGGGTTTTCTTAAACGCCACCTTCGCCTTTCCCCACCACATGTTAGATTACTCGCGTATAAATCGCTTATAAGACCAAAATTAGAATACGCATCTGCCATCTGGAGCCCCCATCAAGCATACCTAATCACTGCCTTGGAAGGTGTTCAAAATCGGGCCACCCGTTTCATCCATTCCTCATATTCATATGACATCAGCATTTCACCATTGAAACATGAATCTGGCCTATCACTCCTTTCTTATCGTCGCCGCATTGCTAGCCTAACTCTTTATCATAAGTTTTTTTATTCTTCACTCAATCAAGCTCCTTATATAACAGCCGCCTCACGCATTTCCCACCGCACCAGTCAATCACTTCAAGTTGCCCGCCCGCCATCACGCACCACTACGTTTGCTGCATCGTTTTTCCTCAGAGCAGCTTCAGACTGGAACGGCCTGCCCTACGACATTGTCACAATTGCCTCATCATCTACCTTCCTGGAACGCCTCACCGATCATCTGCCATGTTAATTCAATTTTTTGTTTGCAATGTTAATTGAATCTCCGCTGTTTTGAATTGTAATCCCACCCCTTATGTAACACCCCCTGAATGGGGGCCTTTAAGGAAATAAAACTGAACTGAACTGAACTGAACGTTTCGTACAATCACTACCTTGCGATAAAGCTGTACTACGAAGCATGTTACTAAACACACCCGTTTTATAATCTCACGTTAGATATATTAGATAAGAGAACAGTACCGAGTACAGTATTGAATCAAGATAGGTACCTATGCTAACTGCGATTGCCTAAGAATGCCAAAATAATTCAAAAAGGTGTCTGACGAAACAAAAGGCTTTCTCCTGTGCTCTCCTCGGCGCCGCCTGAAAAGTTTACCATTTTTAACGTCAGTTCCGGGACGGAAATGACGTGTGTGGATGCATTGTGGACTTCAATAAAAACCAACTTATGGGCTAACTGGAACTACACATCATGTTTCATCGCAAAGATGCTCGCTTTGAAGTCCCTGCGCTAAAACAGAAGTTACGATGGGTCCCGACATAAACAACTTCCACTTCAAACAATTAAGCGTGACATTGAGGATGATAAAATGCACAGAAACGCACCGCTGTTGTGGACGTTAAACAGGGAGCACACGTTTCTTGCAGTCAGCGCGGGCATCGGTCACAACCATCATCCGTGCTTGCCCTTCTGCGTTCTTATCTGTATAGCAGTCCCTTTGTCTCCCTTCTCTACTTTGTCACCGTCGCTCTCTCAATCCATTCTGCGAGTAAAATCTCGGTGTCGTGGAGAACCGCACGAACAAAATTGAGCACGACAGGAGAGCATGCTTGTAGCCATCATACAGCGCTAATGACCATATTAGATATATAGGTGCTCTTCTAAAGCTAAAATCGATTCCACCAAAGCTCGCCGCTACGAATGGTGACGAATTCGCACGTACAACGCGCGTCGCACATTGATCGGTCGATCTGCGTTCACACGACGACAAGTTATAACACGCATGTAATTGCGATCGCCTGCCGAGCGCCCGCACTTGCTAACCCGATAGAAGTCCACTGCTTCCACTAATGACTGGTGAATGGGCTGTGGTTCATTGGTTACCGACATGAATGTTTCGATTGGCCACGGAACGCAATGTTCGTATTTTTCGGCAGTTTAGCTTTATGGTTAGGTGCACCAGCAATAACATGGCAGTATATGGGCCAAGTATTCAAAGGAATGGACCAAAACGTTTCTACAGCTTGCGCTATACACCAATGCACACACGGTGAAGTAGCACATAACTCCTAATTTAAATAAAGTCAGGGAGGTCAACCGAATTCGAAGCATTCGGTATATACCATACACTAAGAGGAAGGAAAGGGAAATAAACATGTAAAGAAAAGTGGAGAGGAAAGTACACGCACGAAAAAGAAGAACTAAATGAATTAAGAAAAGGAAATCGTAGCTGGAGGCAATACGTTATGCCTATTTGGCACAATATGTAACATAAGGTGGCCCTCTATTTTTTCCAAGTAACGTATAGGCATATAACTGTAGCTTCGGGTTTCGCTTCCACGAGCTCAGTGTCACTCCCTGTCTCATTTTTGCAGTGGAGCACTTACCCCCAGTTTTACAGATATTCATAGAAAGCTTAGAAAAAATAGAAATCTATGCTTCTGGCTCGAGTTAAAGGGCTAAAAGGATACATGTAATATCGGAGCACAACCTTGCTTAGCATAATGACCAGTTAACTCAAATAATAGTACATTAAATATATTTAGTTGAATTCATTGAAAGACTGACTGCGAGCAGGTGGGAAAGTTGCGGCACCTGGCGGAGAAAATCCTAAGCTAGTGGTTTTTTCTACGTGGCGCCTGAGATCCGCTTTTGATCTCTGAGGCCGCGTGCTGGCAGAGAGCTGTGCAGGCACAGTACACCGACCCATGGCACGCGAACACCGAAGCATAATGGCCGTTGCCACACACCTAAGCATAGGCGAGAAAAAAAGAACATAGAAGCAAACTCAGACGTACTCAAGAAATTTATTTCGCTCTGTTGGCTCATTGGGACTCAGACTCGCCAACGTATTAAAAAGCCACACTGACTCAGATTGAAGCTCACGCCTTGAAATCCTCGAGGCCCGTTTACTTTGCGACGTCAGTACACGTTAGTTGTTCGCCAAGTGATCGAAATTTCTTGAACCTGCGACTACGGCGTGCCCATATTATCATATCCTGGCTTTTATCAGTCGTCTTCGAACATCTATCGTACACCGGGGGCAGAAATCACAAAACTTTTATTTCAAAAGGGCGTTCTCCCATTGGTCAGCCGGCTTCATTAATATATTTATTTGATAAATGATACGATTTACACAATGAATGGCTAAATATTCTTTTAAGAACACTATTGCCGTCTTATGTTTTTGATAATAAAGACCCAGAGCATTGGACTAGTTGGTTCTGTAGTATAAGTGACGTCATAGCTACGGAAAGACGGAGAGTGAACTACAACTGGACGTGCGCTAAGACCTGTCTTTCCGGCGCCACGACGTCATTTGTAGAAACAGCTGACTTCTACGACCAATCGCGCAAGCATTAACGTTCAAAAAAAAGTTAGCAATGAATCTATACCGACCACGAACGATATTCCGCGCTGGACTCGAGCGCAGGAATGTTCCGCCTTCCAAATAACGTTCGACCACACCATGCAGCTGCAGCGGTCGTCATCTTTGGTATAAGGCCCGGGCAAGAACGAAAGCGAAAGAGGTTGCCGTAGGTCAAACGCCCGTGTCCCAAGGCAGCAGCCGGCGGCTGTAAATAATCCGGCCCGGCAAACAAGCCGCAGTGTTTCATTGCTCCCGTCCTAGACCAAGGGCAACGCACTTGCGCCAGTGTGCTTGATCGAGAACCTCGCTGGGCCAGTTCTGGACGGGCGCCGGTTAAAACAGCAGCAATAGGCGGGAAGTAAAAAAAAGAAAATGGGAAACGTTAAGCGTTTACCTTTCACTTTCACTGCACACAATTTCGGCGCTTCTGGTGGACCAGCCCCCGAGACGACCAATCTCTCGGGAGCTATGCTCTCTCCGAGAAAGAAGTTGCGCGTGCGCGTTTGCGCCAGGTGAAAAATAAACGAACAGATACAAGATCGTCGCGTGGCTTCGCAACTATTGCATCTCTGTCAACCGGCAAGCACGCGAGGGTAGGCGGACATCAGTTGCGAGCGTATACGTGCGCGGCGACCCCGCTGTAGAAGTGCCGCGTTCAAACGCAAAAAAAACCCGTTCCACCACTGAAACTACCGAACTTGCACACGTACGCGCAAGTGCTTTAACGCAATCACCACAAAGCTGGCTCAGCAACGATGTAGATTCCTATATGAGGGCGCGCCGGGTATGCCGCAATGTTTGTGTTCGTGCACGTTCAGTACTTCAGATGTAGTCCAACAAACTGTATTCGGTGCGTTTGCTTAACACCCCGAACACAAACAGATCTAAGCGTTCGAGCATCGATATACGATTCACTTAATGATGCGGAGGCCTTTAGTGCCTCATCGAACCCGAAAATTGACGGCCGACGTCGGCTTCGTGGAGTGAACACGAATGATGAAAAAAAAAAAAAGAAATCATCATGTGATGAAGTGAATCAGCTCGTGAATCATCAACGCCACCCTATGACGAAATCAAAGATTCACAGGACGCCACAATTTGTGCCGGTTTGTGACGTCACTATGACTTCTTCGCATAACATCTTCGCTATGTTGTGGGCTGATCGTGGAGGCAATACAAAATCCGGTGAGGTGCTGAAAGCTTATAATGCCTCCGATCTTCGGAGGTGTTATAAGCTTATAGAGGGACAAGATGTCTTTCGCCTTGGACTCGTCTTAAACGAATGCGTGAGAGATACTTACATTTTTTCTCTTTCTCCTTTGTTTTTTTTAGCGCGCAAATAATAACATAACGGCGAACGTTTTTTTTTTTTTCTCGAAATAAAAAGATTACCGGCCGCGTTCCGTCGATGCATGGGCGTTCATGAGATCACCGAGGGACATTGCTGCGAGTGTGGATGCTAAGTTAACTTACCTGGACGTGTGTGGGTCGATAGACTTTGGCGGCCGAGGTGTCGGCAGCACCTGCAATGATTATGAAAAGAAGGATCAGCGACAGCCATCAACCGCTTGTAGCGACGACGCAGTCTTAGAGATCATTTAAAGCGTGATAAAATTGTCTTATATTTTACAGCCTCCGCGCCTCCCTTGACCCGAACGATCAGTATACATATACCTGCCGCTGTCACCAAAACTCAAGCTGTCGAAGGAAAAAAGGCGCACAGGTTTGTTCCAAAGGCAAGAACACAGCGAAAGTTCCAAAGGCAAGAACACAGCGACATAAATAAACGTCACGGACATTACCAATGAAGCCTAGTTTGCTATTTTCGCCTTAATCATAACGAGGCAGTATTTTTTTTATCGTAGCAAAGCTTGATATGACTAGACGAAAAAAAAAGTATCCGGTGGCATTCTGTACGCAAACGAGTATCATCATTGTAAAGAGGTGTGTGTCACAGCATTATTCACCACTGAATATCTAAGATTAATTGATGAATGGAGCACAGAGGCGGCTAGCACCACTTAAGACGACGTAACCAACGTCTGAGCAAGGCTTTAATGAACCGTCGTTATTTACCAGGCCGGAATTAAGTCTAGGCCCCACGTTAACGACCTGTATGGTAGCTTTGCTTGCGCGTTTTTTTTTTTTTGTCAGTCTAAAAATGTGTCGCAATCGGGATTTAGAGATAATATCAAGTTATTGTTCCTGCGATAACACACAACGACTATCGGGTTGTTTGGGTGCACGTTGAAGAACCCCAGGTGGTCGAAATTTCCGGAGCCCTCCACTATCTGCGTCTCTCGTAATCATACGGTGGTTTTGGGACGTTGAACCCCACGTATCAATCAATATCAATGGCTATCAAGTCTCTTTTCTTTCCTGCTTTCCGCCTCGTACGGGCGAACGCACTGCCTTCTGGTAATGGTTATCTTAGCTGAAATAGCTTACTATATAATATAAGGGATTTGAGCATTCGGAGAAAAATAACTGAGGTTGACTACCTCAAACTTTCGGAGTTATTAGGCTCGCGCTAACGAAGCCCTCAAGTATACTGTATTCCATCCTGGAGGTACACCTGTGAAGCCGACGTATAGAATGCAAAGTTTATGCAGCCCAATTACAGAGTGATAACGTGGTAGAATGTAAAATGTATGCGGCCTGATTACAGTGTGACAAAAAATCAGCCAGGACAATGCCTACATTCATGTTTTCGCTTATGACGTCACAAACTCCCGAATTCGAAGTCTATAATTATACGAAAAAGAAAGAGCCCTTATCAGATTAAACTTGCGGCAGTATATAAACGGAGGTTTCGAACTTGTAAACTTTTTTTTTCCTATCCTATTTAGTTTGTCTGGTAACACGAGGCGTATACGCGCGTTAATTAGACGCAGTGAGGAAGTTGTAAACGCGCGCTCATTAAGCACAGTTTGGTGGCCGTTACGAGCGATGCAGCAGGGCGATCCCAAACCGTTGCGTTATTATTCGAGTAGCATATAACTGTAGCAGTATAAAACCCGGCTTTCAACTAACAAGCGTGCAGTAACTACAGCTCTCGTCAGAACTTAAGATCGTTCATCCATTATTTGTTTTTTCCAAAAAAAAAAAAAAGAACGACTCGGGGCAAGAGCAACGTCTGCTTGTTGCCGATATTACGGCGAGCTTTTTTTGCTCCAAAGTCTGTATGCTTTTTGTCTCGTTTCGCTTGTAAAGATGTTCATTCATTCGCGATGAACAGAGCCTGCGCCACGCGAGGATGATGTAAACGTTCTTTTTTTTTAATTTACGAGCCCCTAAATGCTATACGTGGGAATTGAACGCTCCGGCGTGCTTGCGCGCGCGCACCAACTCGAAAGCACGATCGTTTCAATTAGCGGGCGATAGTGTCTATAGCCTCTCCAACCCCCGCATCAACGGCCGGTTTTATACGAGAATAAGAACGAAAAATAATGATAACAAAGGATAGCAAAAAACGAGGATGGTTTGAAGTATATACAAAATACAAAGCAGCCTGCACGACTGAGTCGCGTGCATCGACGGAGCTGCCGCCGCCTTTCATATCGCTACGTAATAACCTCCTGACAGCGCCGCCGCAATGTAGGGAGGGGGGCTTTTGTACATACGTACAAGGTTGTTCTCGGGAGAGGGCAACACTCGTCGCTGCCGCCTCCCGCAAAGTGTGCGAGTCCTGCAATCTTCCCCCACAAAGATGGCCGGTGCACAAAGTGGGAGGGCGAATGTGTAATTTGAAACTCTACAAAAAGACGTGAGCTTACGGGCAGTTCCCGTTGTGCTTTTACTTTGTTTTCGAAGCCAAGCTGCCAATCGCCTTTCGAGATTACACGGCGCGTGCTACTTCAAGCACGCGCGCCAGCGACTGAGAAGCGGAAGACCCGGGAAGTTTAAGCACGATGCAGTTATTAAAGTTTAGCGCGTGGTTTGTATGCTCGCGTGCGTTGCGTTGTCGGGAAATGTTTCAGGGAGATGTACCGACACGTCATTATTTCCGTGACAATAGAGAGCTATAGCATGTTTTAACTGCCGCCTGTTTAGTGAGGCTTGCCAACCTGCAGCGTCAGAACGTGTATGCGAAAATTGACACGATTGATCACACTCGATATCTAGCGATGAAGTTGTATCCCTCCATTGAAATGCGACAGCCGCGACTGGGATTTATTCGCGTCAACAGCCGATTGTTGTAACCGCTACACCACCACGCCTGACATCCGGGGCTAGAAAGGAATGCGAAGTAAATTTCTTCAAGGAAGGTCCTGGACAGAGCATCTCGAGTATATATAGTCTTGCATGAGTATATATAGTCTTGCATGAGTATATATAGTCTTGCACATGTACCCCACAAACTTACGTGAGCTTGTTTCAGTGTTATGTATTAGTGCTGACTTTATTCTGCCCAAATACTGAAATGGTTGGTTGGTCACTGCGAATTTCGAGTATAGAAATCATACCGCTTTCTACTGCATCCCTACTGATCGTAATGGAGACACAGTGAAGATTATTTTGAATCTTACTATCGATTTTTGTTTGTATGGTCCGCACTACAAGAGCGTCCGCAGAACTTTTTTTGCAGGAGGATGCATCCGCGAGGAGAGGAGGGGAGGGGAAGGAACATCCATCACTGAAGTGTTTCTCACACTAATGTTTAACGGCAGGCAGCACTAGTTACAATTGTGTTACGTGCGAAATTCGGTGGCAATATTTATGGTCAAGACGTGAGTGTGCCAATGAAGCTATGTGGGCGATTGCTACTGCATAGAAATATAGTATCCAAAATTTCAAGGGTGGGCAGCCGCCCTCTTCCCACCCCCCTCCTGATACCAATGCCCCACAAGCGTCGCGAAGGGTAGCTCGAGATCTATTGGAATCCTTACCCAGCGATTCTGACCGCTTTACATCCATGTTTATTGAAGGGCCCCTAAATCGCTCCGAGCTCAAAGAATAGAGTCGTTTTTTTTTTCTAGCTTTCACGGCCCTTCCCACAAGCGCTATCTGTCCCTCCTCATTAATTTTTTTTTTCAAAAAAGAAAAAAAGAAAGCGTGAACAATGTAAGTACTGAGCCTGAAGTCTGTCAGGATTTCTTGCTATTTGCCCGCACGCTTTTATCAGCACTTGAGCAGTCGAAAACGAAAAAAAAGATAAATAAAGTAAAAAAAACATCAGCATGGCACTCAGGCGAGACAAGGTACAATGGGCGGGCGACTGGCAAGGCAAGGTAAGAGATAATTAGCGAATGATATTCGTCGCATGAAAACGAATGAAGAAAAATTATTTCCTCGTGATGTCACGTGAACGAACTCCCGGCGTTATGAAATGCGACAGGAAGAGCCAGGGGAGAATAAATAACACGCTAGTTCTGCACCTGTTCACCGTACGCACGCAAAAGAACGCCACAAACGGATGTCTTCGTTTGGACGATATCTTAGTAGACCATTATTGAATGAATAAGGTATAGTGTTGGGCCCTTCTCGGCCAGACGTCTGCAGTACAAATGTGTTTATAGAAGCCGTCGTTGCATTCTTACGAGCCACTGGGCTGGATGCACGTCTTTGGATTAGCCCCAGCGTAACGGGACTTTACTTTCATCTGCCAGGCTGACCATCGTCATTAATCACCGTTTCGCTCCCTTGTCCTTCTTCTCCTGCGTAGAGTAGCAGGTTTTGAGCAAACTGTAGTTGAGACCGACCTTTTAGTGAATGAATATATCTCTCTTCTTTGTATTTTCAGAGGCTGCTTAGATGACCTTTAAATGTCACGTCCCTCGCATATATACTTTTTCTGGCCTCGCTACACAACATACTTAGTCCTTAGATGATTGAATAAATAATAAGGGCTCCTAATTGGAGGTGAAATCAATTGCTCCGCCCCAAGTACTGATTATACTTTATAGCAGAATTTTCACATCACTGCGTTGAGAGATTGAGCTTGCACGCACGCAGCCTGAAGACGCGGCCATGTAGCGAGCAGAAAAGAACCTTCGAACGAAGTTTGAGCGATGGACCGCCGAAAGGTCGTTCACCCCATTGATGCCACGGGGCGGTGTAGCGGGCAAGTCACGCTGTTACTCCTCAGCGCAGTGATCGAGTGGACAGGGGCGCCGCAGGTCATCTTCTGAACCGAAATCGTTCTTCCTACCCGTTTCTCAAGCTATATCTATATAGCTCGTAGATGGCTACGTGCTGGGTTTGAGCGACGGAAGCTTGGTAGCTTGTAGCGACGAGTTGAACTTAGAGTGAACGGCTGAGCATAGGCGCCAGATGATTAGGAGGGTGGGCTGGCACCCCCTCCTGGGGGCACGCCTACGCAGCTGTGCAATGACGCGCAGGAAGTCTCCGTGGTGTAGTGCCTACGACGATAGAATGTCCTATAAATACACTAGAAGGAACTCTGGTGCTAGTACTTATGTAAGCATCCATGCACGGTACTCGATAAGTGAGCAGGGGAATGATGATTAGTTCACAAATTTGTCTAATCTTCTTTCTTTTAACCCCGCTTGGCTTCCCGTCC